CGGGGGGGCAGGAAAGTCAAAATATATGAACATTTTTGAACAAGCTTGAACAACAATCAGTAGTATAAGGCATGCAAACATTTGCAAGGTATCTTAGAGACGCCAGACATGCTGGAAAGTTTAGGCTGAGTTTCTACTGGTGCATTATAAAGATGACCCCTTGTCCTGGCTATATACACATCTAATTTTTCAGGATCCACAATTCACAAATGTGCTTTTATTTAATAATGCCACACACATAGTTCATGTCCTATCATTTCAATCCAAGGTACAACTGTATATAGGGTTGTTTCTCTTTCAAAATTCAGAATTTTGACACATGCTATATGCGGCCACCTTATAGAAATTAATCTGAAACAGCCTATCTTGCCGTTTCTGTTTTAATTCAACAAGTTTAAAGGTTGCTTGAAAGTGATGGAAAAGCCTATCTATAAAGGCTTTGAAGAACACCAGCCAAATGGCCACATGTGTGCTGTAAATACACGTGGGCTGACCAGAGTGCAAAGGTCAAGGGTCACCCGGGTCGAAGGGTTTAAAGCACTTAGGACAGGCTAGATGCAGCTTGCAGTAAAGTCCCTGATGCTAAAATAGCAATGATGGAGTGGGTTCCAGGAGCGGGGAATGTGATCTATCTAAAAGAAACATCAGAGAAGATGAAAACACAGCATAGTTCGACAAACATTTCAAAGAGGAGACAAGTTGTTTGAAAGTCCCTGCCAGCCTGTGTGTTCAGGAACTCAAACTCATGTTAACCCTCTCATTGCAAGCTGAGCAGGGTACTTGGCGTGTGCAGATACATGGACGCTCCTACAGGGCCCTGTCCCATCTGTGACTGAAGAATCGGAAACCAATCTAAAGCTGGGCATACATGATGAAATCTGATTGTATTATCTGGTCTAAATTTACCATCAACTGTGTAGTGTGAGGGTCAGAGGTGTATCTACAAAAAATTGTGCTCCTGGCTTCTCATCCATCTCCTGGCAACCAGTGACATCACTGGTTGCCATTGGGTTGCCACCCGTTTGGTTTTCACTCGGACAGTCCAGTTTTGGAGTCTTGGAGTCTTGTGTCCGGGTGTCCAGTCAGCAGGCACCTGGACATAAGACACTCAGTGCCGACACTGGCACTTGAAAATTTTCTGACAGATGTGGCTGCCAAGGTCCTCGGCAAGCGCTTTCTTGGGCAGCTGCATCTGCCTGAAACCGGATTTTCCTCTGAGCTGCGGGCAGCCTGTGCCAGTTTCAGGGTGATGCGGCTGCCCGACATCGCGCTTGCCAAGGGCCTCGGCAGCCGCATCTGTCATTGCGTTCTCCTCCTTCTCCTCCTCTGGCTCCCTGACACCGTGCTGCTCACCTGCGGAGCCCTGGTGAGACACCATAGCCCAGACAGCCCACCTGAGAGTCCTACAGCCCACCCGAGAGTCGCACAGCCTACACGAGAGTCGCACAGCCTACCCGAGAGTCGCACAGCCTACCCGAGGGTCGCACAGCCTACCCGAGAGTCGCACAGCCTACACGTGAGTCACACAGTCCACCTGAGAGGCGCACAGCTCACCTGAGAGTCACATAACCCACCTGAGAGTCACATAACCCACCTGAGATTCACATAACCCACTTGAGAGTCACACAGCCCACCTGAGAGTCGCGTAGCCCACCTGAGAGTTGTGTAGCCCACCTGAAAGTCGCATAGCCCACATGAGAGGTGCACAGTTCACCTGAGAGTCGCATAGCCCACCTGAGAGTCACATAGCCCACCTTAGAGTCGCATAGCTTAAATCGGAGGTGCACAGCTCACCTGAGAGTCACATGGCCCACCTGAGAGCCGCACAGCCCATCTGAGAGCCCGCACAACCATCTGAGAGCCTGCAGAGGCCACCAGAGACATCAGGGCACCAACCCAGAACAACACAGAGTATGTAGCTTCATATTATTTTCATATTGCTGTATAATGTATTGCTGTAGTCCTCTATAGACGGTCTCCTTATTCACTCCCCTGGCTGTCTCTTCTTGCTCTTTCTCCTGCCTCTCCTCGGTCTCTCCTCTATATACCCCCCCCCAAAAAAAAATGCCGTGCACGGCGCTAGAGTGTTCGCGTTTCACTTGAAGAAAAGGTGGCAACCCTTGATTGCCAGGAGCTGGGTGGAATGCCGGGCAGATTGTCCCAGGTTGCTAAAAGGCAGATGAGGAAATACACATCTCCCTTTTAGCAACCTAGGATGCTTTGGCCGACGTCCTGCCCAGCTCCCGGCAACCAATGACATTACTGGTTGCCAGGAGCCAAGCAGGATGCCGGCCAGAGCGTCCAGCCTGCGTATACATCTTCCCGCCAACTCTGGTTGCTAGAAGCTAGGCAGGGAGATGTGTATGGTCCTTACACATCTTCCCACCCGGCTTTTAACAGCCAGGCACACTCTGGCCGGCATCCTGGGTATTATATTTGTGGTCATTTTGCACTAAAATTACCTTACGCGTAATTTTTGGATTTGATAAAATTTGCACTAATGTCATGTAATCTAAAAAATTTGCCACTGTGTCCATTTTATTCGACAGGGTCTCTGACTTCAAGGAAATATATCATTCTGGGGGCTTTAAGTAATTTTCAGGCCTAAAAGGTGGCTTATAATGCCTTGGCAGCGAAAAGGGTTAAACTCACAGAGGCAAACTGATCTTAACACATGTGAAATCACATACGGCAGGGTAAAAAAAATGACATAAAAACAAGTAACAAAACACCCTTTATGCCTCTTATTTCAACATGCTGACAATAACTCATGAGTGCATGTGAAGCCTTAGAATGCCGCTACTGATGTAAATGAAGGGAAGTCATGGTTGGGTCCCTTCTCGTCATACAGTCAGGAGCATCGCGTCCTCAGTTATTATGTCCTAATGTTTATCTAAGAGGTAAAGCGTATCTAGGCCATGTTTAGGCCTCTGCACAGAGATAACCATCGCAGTCCCCAGCTGGGCTTTTACCACCGTCCGCCCTGTCCCATAGATGGGTTTGATGGAGCCTGCTGTGTAATGATGGGAGTATGTCAGGGATGTCCCAGCAGGGTTGGCTTGGTCCATGATCCCATAGGGAACAATACAGGATATGAGCAATAGACGACATAAGCCACTAGAGGAAATGGAAACCTCAGGGCGTGCGGAGTCCATTCAGGCAGCACAGCATGAGCGTTCCATTCCAAACTCCCAGCATCCTTCCTGCGGGGGAATAAACACCTTCGCTCTCTCTGCTGCCTGGCCTAAAGCAACCCTGCACTGAGAGATTCAGCCTTTCCTTCTGAAAATGCTAGTTTCCTGGCTGTGTCTTATTGCAGTAGTCAGTGGTCTCGAACAAGCATGCAGCAAATGAAAGTGGGAGAAAAGTCATTATTCTCTATCTCTATGCTTGCTCTCTTAAGGTGCTCATACCCCTGCCGATTATCGTACGATAATTGCGGGAATGTAGTTCCCTTCCCACCCCTACAATCCAGTTCTCAAACCAGGCCCCACATTGGTACTGTGGTGTGCTCACAATTTACGAGCATGCAGTGCTGTAGGTATTCTTTATATTGGGTTATAACATTTACAGTGGTAAAACTATGAGCAAGTCTTCAGGGTTGACATAAGGCAAGTTCTGGCTATCTCCTGCGCCTATATGGTAATGCAAAACCTGCACCATAGAAGTATTTTTCCACTTTGTACAGCGGCTAAGGCCCACACACCATGGACCATGAGTGGGTCCATTCAAGTGCTGCCACCATTGGCAGCTACTTTAGTGATGCTTCTCTCAGGCAGGTTATAAAATTACAAGAGACGTTTTGACCAGTTGGTAGGGACAACACAGACTGCAAAGCCACACAACCATTTTAAATTTTTAAAGGGTACCTGTCACTCATATACCATAGAGGGAGCCGTCTTAAGGGCTGTAACATTGCCTGTCGCTTTACAAACAACTAGTACCTCATACCTTGGCAAAGTCTCTACTTCCTAATGAATGGAAAAGCTGAATTCTCTAAAATATCGACCCCTCTCACAAAACAGCTGCTGTGATTGTATGTGGACACAAGAGTTACACAGCTAGGCAAGGTTATCTGTTTTGCACAAAGAAATACTTTATAAGTGTTCACGCCATGTGTCAGCAGTGAAGTCACATGTTTATTCAGAATGTACAAAGTTAAACAATCTTTGACACCAAATGTACTGAAGATAAGACAGCAGGAGATTTGCATGAAAGTGACATTCAGGAATGGTCCTTACCTTCTGTGAATGCTTCCCACTGGTAGAGGCGACCCATAAACTCCTGGTTGTTAAATGTGGAGCACTGAAGAGTCCTGGCATCAGGCTGACCAGCTGGACATGGCTGTGAACCCAACAGGAAAATGAAAAATTGAAAGGTCAATCTGCTCTGTTTCCTACCAAAAGTGGCAATTCATCAAAAGACTTATTGGGCTTGTGTTAATTATGGGAGAGATAGGCAGATGGAGAGTGGTCAAATTGCCTGTTGCGGGTGGATAAATGTAATATTTACTTATGAATGGCCTTCAGCAATTCTATGTTAGCATACCCATTTCTTATTTACCACAGAGGACATAGGCTACAGTTTAGCAAAATACCAAATAAGAATAGGATATGATTGCTCAATCACTGATGTCATGAAGGAAGACTGGTGGACTGGCCTATAGGAGGATTTAATAAGAGGCTACAAAAATGAACTATATTAGTCAATCAGATTGAAGTTTAATGAAGTTAGCTAAAAGACCAGCAATGATGGATAGGATGCAAATAAGTTGTTCCATTGTAGAGCATGTCCAGCAAATGTTGTCAGAAAGATTATAGCATTATAAAACGTGGAAGATTTTGTTTGGGTAGATATTTAAGTGTTGTCATTCATCACATAATTGGTTGCTTTTGACTATTTTTAATATATTCTGCATGGGTAAAAGTGTGTGGACAGACAACTACACAGTATATGATCTTGTTGGACATCCCATTCCAAAACCATGGGCATTATTATAGAGGTTTTCCACAAGATTTTGGAGTATGTGTGTGGGAATTTGCTTCCATTCAGTCAAAGGAGAATTTGTTAGGGTTAGGTACTAATGTGGACACCCAACAAACACATCTATATGAGCTTGTTGGACATCCCATTCCAAAACCATGGGCATTATTATAGAGGTTTTCCACAAGATTTTGGAGTATGTGTGTGGGAATTTGCTTCCATTCAGTCAAAGGAGAATTTGTTAGGGCTAAGCACTAATGTGGACACCCAACAATCACATCCCGTTCCAAAACCCAGGGCATTATTCAAGATTTCTACAAGATTTTGGAGTATATCTGTGGGAATTTGCTCCCATTCAGTCAAAAGAGAATTTGTAAGGCCAGGTACTAATGTTGACACCCAACAAACACATCTATATGAGCTTGTTGGACATCCCATTTCACAATCATGGGCAATAATATGGAGGTTTTCCAAAATGTTTGGCGTGTGCCTGTGGGAATTTGCTCTCAATGAGCCAAAACAGAATTTGTGAGGCCCTGTACTAATGTGGACATCTGACCATTACATTTATATGAGCTTGTTGGACTTCCAATTCCAAAACCCTGTGCATTAATATGGAGGTCTTCCACAAGATCTTGGAGTGTGTCTGCGGGAATTTGCTACTATTTAGCCGAAAGAGAATTTGTGAGGCTAGGTACTACAGTTGGACAAGAAGACCTGGCCTGCAATTGACAAACAAATGCATACAGAAGGTGTTAAAAAGCGTTGAGGTCAGGGCTCTGTGCAGGCTGTTCCACTTCCTACAGGAGCCACTGGATTGGTTAGTTACAAATATTTGCAGGTTCAGCATTCTACTGCCAAAGTCAGTTCAGTATAGTTAGAAAACTGACAGTCTGCATTTGGTAGAACATAAGGAAGTTTGAATGACATATACTGTATATTTCATTCTGATCTGACTTTGCAACATTTCCATTATTCATCAAGAACGAAGACAAATCTGGAAAAATAAGCAAATTATTTTAATTCTATTTTTATATTTACTGTATTTCTTTTTTTTATTATTGGGTTACTGCTATTTCCTCATTGCTGTATTAAATATGCCAGTAAATGTTTGTGGGTTTTTAAGAAATGGAAAGACGGGATGGGTTTTATTCATTGAACAGTGTTATAAAGATAGTTGCCAATATAGAAACCATCTCATATGGTGCAGTGTAAGGGATCTTCACATTTCTGCTAACTATATTTAATATTAATTCAGACTGGAACATATTAAAATCCAGCTGGAGAGAGTCATGTGTTCTTCTATGCCTCGGGTCCTTCAGTCTTATTGATGTGTGGTATGGGCTGGCAGTACAGTTTCCCCAACACTTGTGTCTCTTTCTTCCTCAATGCTTTGCTTTCCATGTCTTCTATGCCAGCTGATTTCTGGTGACTATGAGTCACTATCAGAGATATTATAAACTGCGGGAGTGGCAGTGACAGGCAGATGTATTCCACTTTAAGTCCGGGTGAGAGACAGGCAAATGCAAACATGTCAAACGTGAATTATAATTAGGTCTTGTTTGAACAAAATAGAGAACCGTTGATGGCTTATGAGCCCGTTCCACTATTCCCGTCCTTTATACTGGCAGTAAGAATACTTTAAACAAATTCCACAAACTGTAATTATAGTTCAATGTGAGCTGTACTGGCAAGGTCTTAAAAAAACTGGCCTGCCTGCTAAAGACTTAGTTAGCAGAAAGCATTATAAACATGTCATGCCTTTTCAGGAGGGTAATTCTGCTTTGCATGAGCTAAGTGGGCTTATACAGTAAAAACCAGTACAAAAAGCAATGTTGAGCTGCAAGCTGCTTTAACATACAACAACCAGTCAGATTTGAGTGTAGATTAGTCAGAACAGATCAAAACATTTGCTTGGTTTCTGAAGTGATTGATCCACTTTGCATATCCCTGATTTTTGCCCTTCACTCAGAAAAGAGCAAATGCACAGTACACTTTTTGCTGTGTTGCAGTGTAATGCACCTTGAATGGCACCCTGACACGCCGACGCAATGCACCTGCTTTGCAGCACACCACAACACATGGTAACACTCTACTGTGCATTGGAAGCAAATGTTCAGGTAGGTTTTTGTGGTGCATTGGTAGCCCAGTCACAATGGATGACCATTGCCCAGTCCTTAATGCAAAGCACTTTAACCTATGACATAATGTACATTAGCAAAAACTACTCTTACGGACAGTTGTAAATGAGCAGTTACATAATTATCCAGGCTGAAAAAAGTCTATTGAGTTCAACCCATAGAAAAATGAATACATAAATAATACATAAATAAATTGGTTACCTGCATAAAACCAAACTTGAACCAGAAGAAGGCAAAGAGCCGTTAGAACGCATGGTCCAATATGCTCCAAAGGGGGGAAAAATTATCCCTGATCTCCACAGTTTGCTACAGTACATGGAACTCCTATAGCCATTTGGATTGATGGACTAATACTCCGTAACACAATGAAAGACTGATACACTATATGGTTAAAAGTCTGCGGACACCTGACCATCACACCTACACTGTACGGCCAAACGTATGTGGACACTCATACAAATGAATGAGCTCAGTGTTTTCAGTGAAGGGTATTTTTTATTCTACAGCGTACAAAGACATTTTAGACAGTTGTGCACCTCCAACCTTGTGCCAACAGTTTGGGGAAGGTCCTTTTCTGTTCCAGCATGACTGCACCCTTGTGCAAACTAGCTCCTTAAATACATGGTTTGACCAGTCTGACAAGAAGTAACTTGGCCAGCAATTACCCCTGACCTCAATCCCAATAAACACCATTGAGATTCATTTGAATGGCTCTTTTGTACAACAATGCCTTACCTCACAAATATTCTTTCGACTGAATGGGCACATATTCCCACAAACTTGTGGAAAGTCTTTCCAGAAGGGTGGAGGCCATAAAAGCACAAAAGTAGTAAGCATCTATTTGACAAGCATACATCTTGGGTAAAGGCTTGCTAACTCTCGAAATGGCCTTACAGTAATAGGTAATAGGAATTTCACTGGGGAAATGGGAGCAATGTCAACTTTTACTCTGAGAAAAAGTTATGTCACTTTTAGGTGACTTCTTTTTCTCAGACTGGCCAGAATGATTGGGGGTAAGACAATTGTTAGCCCCACTAAAAGTAATGCTCTAAACAGGCCTGTTGACGTGTGACTGATTTATAGCATACCTCTTGGTTGCACGACTTGTACTGTTTCTTCTCGCCCTCGCAGTGGAATTCCTCTGTTCCTGGATTATACAAGTTCCACTGGGGAAGTTCTGAGTTCTGATGTAGACTTGACCTCTGATCCTGCCCTCTGTCATAAGTCAAAGGCGGATTTCTCCCTAGTGGAGTCCAAGGATCTGCCTGAACTGGGTTGTCTCTATAAAGACTGTGATAGGCCCTACTGTCGTCTGTACTGTGTCTGTATGGACTTTGTCTCTGGCTGCGGGATCTTGGTTGGTGTGGTATCTGTGACTTTTGCTCATTTTCTGTTGCTTCATCACTGGTGGAATCATTATTCTGTATCGTCTTCATGACCTGCCTAAATCTCCTTCCATGATGGCTGTTTTCACTTTCTGCTTGTTTCTCATTTTTTATTGAGGTGTCGACTCTATGACTCAATAGTTTGCCCTGCATTGGTTTTACTGTACCAATCAGCTTTGTGAGCTTGCTGTCCTGTTTCTTTACTTGAGTAGCAGAAACTTTTAATATACTAGTCCTGATAAGCTCATCTTCCTCAACAAGCTTCATAGCTTGATTTACAGATGACACGGGAGTTGAAGATATTTTCTGGACTTGAGGTGGTTTTTGGGCAACCAACACATTTTCATTCATAGTTCTCTTATTTTTAAGTTCTTTCAGATGCAATGGATTCTCTACTTCTGAAGTGCCTCTGTGACTATCAAAGTCAACCCAAGCATCCCAAAAATCAAGCTGGGAATCTTGACTGCCGTCTGTGCTTTTTCTGGAGGGTTTCAATTTTGGGGCTGCTGTTGAAGAATCAACATTCTTACCTATGTTAAAATCATATTCTGGTGACTCTGTCCATGATGAGTAATCAGACTGACTAGACCTTTTTGGCTTCCTTGCAGATGGTGATCTCCTTTTAGAAGATGCCCCACTGATATCTGTGGCTTGACTGGAAGACTGATCATTGTTCATTCCCTGGTTTTCCATTGAAGGTTGAGTTGGCCTAAGCTCTTTCCTGTGCTCTCGCCTGGGACTTGCTGTAGTGCTAAAGGTCATCATTTTATGATGTCTCTTGGACCTCTGGGATTCCTCCTTTTCTGTATGAAGGGGCAAAGCAAATGGTACCTTCCCATAACCATATTTTCCTGGCTTGATTGCGTTTCTAACCCGGGATCTAAAAGACAAAAAAACAAACAGAAATCAGTTGACTGATCTTTTAAATTACCTAAATTATTTCTCAAATAAATATTTAGAACACTAAGAACATTTCCATTGATAACGATTATTAATATGCATCATTTTGGCTCAGATGCAATCCATGACTCATGATCGGGGGTACATTAATTGCAATGTTATCGTATGGCTAAAGAAAAAAAATTCAAAATCCCCTTTCACCTCATCCGTAATTCTTGGCACACGGAAGAGAACGGCAAAGGAAAACAGATTCCAAGGAGCTGCTGCCCATACAAGGCATTAAGAAAGTTGCAAGAACGTTTAAACACTTAATTGCTTTAAACGGACGTACAAGTTTCCAACAATTTCTTTTGCTTGAAATAAACGAGATTGATATCCAAAAGCAGGATTGTTTCGGCTACTCCGTAAAATCACATCTGCTGCAATAAATAATATTAAAAGTTGAAATTGTAAAAGACTAGTTTGATTGTAAACTGGCCCAGGTTTTAAGGTTTAACTGTATTGATATTGGACATAATGTTCATTCCAATAAACACAATTTTATGTGACATGACAGCTTTACAATATGTGTACAGAACTGAAATATATGAAATAAAGTTATAAAACATATTTGAAAGCCTAAACACAGAGTCTGATGCAGGGGCAACAAATAAAATTATTTCAGTGTTTAAGGAATATGAATGCCCCTCGGCTCCATCTAGTGGCAGCAATGTCATGCAAACGGAATTCGCTCAGCTATACGCTGGGTGGAAGTTTTATTCATCAGCCCCTAAAGTATATTTCTGGGCAAAATAATTATATATTTAAAAAAAGAAATGCATCTCTACAGTACATGTACATTTCCCCAAGCTTTGTCTTCTTAAAAAATTACAAGTACAGAAAAATACTGGTGCATCTGCCAGAGCTGACAACACAGTGCTTCTGCTCTGAAATCCCATTCCCTGTCAATTTCTCTTTTGCTGAACTACATGTCACTATATGGAAGAGGTGTTCTGTAGTGAAAGGGGAAAAATGGGCAGGGACATCACCGCTTGGGATTTCAGTGTAAAAGAAGCAGAATGCACGAAGTTACTACCGGTATGTTTTCAGCAGGATCAAAAGGTACAGGGTTTTTTTAAGGTATTTTTGTACTGTACTTTATGTACTGCATTTTTTTTTTGCTCAGGCATACACTTTAACTCTATCCTACCTGAACACTTACCACATATCCAGACACTAAAAAGAGTCATGACAGATTAATGGAGGCTGCTATTACTAAGCTATGAGAATGCTAGGTCCCTGGCTGGCATTCTGATGCTTTTGACTTCAATGTATAGAGTATAGAGATAAGAGTCTCTGACCATTCTTACATTCATTTAAAGCATGCTTGCTCCGGGACTGTGATACAACTAGACACTGAGCCTTTTCTGCAATGGCAGCCCCCATGTCTCTCTCATGAGAGGCAATTCACTTAACTACCTCTCTACCTCTTAGCCCCTAATCTCCCAACAGTGAACACTGCTAACCCTAGTTCTTAAGCTACCCTTAAAAGTGAGCTAACCTAACTCCTAAACTAGGTTTTAATGCAAACCCCCTAGCTTACTGCCTACACACCTCATCTTGCAATGGGAGTCTGTACACCAATAGTAAGTGGTCTTAGTTCAAAATTACGCTGTGCCAAGATACCAACGCCAGTAGAAACTGCTCTGATGTAAGTTTAAATTGAGTCTTCTAAGATTCCAGGCATGTGAAGGGGTGCTAGCTGACTGCTGGAACATCAGCTGCAGTACTAACATTATAACAAAGTGACCTCGACCAAATTGCAAGCTAAACCAATAGGGACTGGCTACAATGAGTCGAGGCTGACTGTAGCCAGACAACCTTTGGAGCCCAAAGCAACACTACTAGCTAGGGTCACCTCATTACACAGAATATATTGCTGTTTTAGTCATCCCAACCTGGCTCAGAATATTGTGACAAAATGTAAATAAGCTTATAGGAGATGGCTGTTTTTCTACTGTTGAGGGAAAGTGTGTGGCCAATAACTACACAAAGAAAAGCCACCTCTTTGCAACTTCACCTAACGATATATCTGGCCATTTAAATTAGTGTTAAAAGTAAGGGGGCAGTGACCCATGAGAACTATTTTTAGTTATAGGAATGCACAGCTCAGATGCAACTTGAGCTAGAAGGAGACCACTGCCTTCTCTGGTATTCTTTTTAGGTAGACTTGATCACTTGAATTTTATGATAGTTCTTTTTTTTTCTTTTATATTTTTTGGAAGTAGCAACCTACCTGCGTAAAAAGCGAGACTCTTTAGTAGGGGTCAGAGGAGGCAAAGCTTGCTCTAGGTTGGTTTCCTCCCAACCTTCAGGCTTCAGAAGAGGAATAGAATCAGGGAAGAATGGCCATAGTGCAGAGGCATCATCACCTCTTGAAGCATTCCTTGTATTGAAGGGCATAGGACTATCTTGGTGTTGTTTCCTATGAATGGAGATAGTTTCAGAAGCACGCAAAGCATCTTGTCTATGTGGGATGTCTAGTGGAGATGGCCGCCACAATGTCTCTGGGTTCCGTGGCACTCCACGACCTCGGTTTGATGTGGAACGATGATAGGGAGGGTAGTCCCTCCTTGGATGTATAGGCTGGGATCCACTAGGAACTGTCTCTTGTCTGGTGTTACGGTTAAAAAGATTGTATCGGGAAGAAGATGGGTTTCTTGGCACATAAGGGTCTGCATAGGCAGCTGCAATTTCCCCATCTGTATTAAAAGGGTAAGAAGGCCTAGCTGGTCCCATAGAGAAAACATTAGGCCTATCTTCATGAAATGGAGGCTGGGGTTGTGGTTGAACGATATGAGGGTTTGGCTCTGATCTTGGCATCCAGGGAACTTGCTGATATGGGGACAAACAAGAACGACTTCTCTCAATTACTCCTAAGCCACAGGTTTGTGAACAGGAAGACCAGGGTCCCCAAAGGCCCCACGTGCCAGCAATTTTATTCTCAGAAACTTCATCCTCTAAGGCTTGTCTTGGTGTCCGAGGAGGTAACTGCAAAGAACAAAGAGAAGCATATGATTAAATGATGCTTGCTTAATTCATTATTAAAAGCACATAAATATGAGTAAGCCACCAATGAAAGGAGAAGGTTGGTAGATGTCTGACAGCTAGTGTCCTATAGGAAGGAATGTAAAGAACTAACCACACTTGGCTGAACTGACAGTTTCTTTCATAGTGTAGCTTTTCCAAAATAATTATGACTGTTCCCAAAACATGTGAAATCAGCAAAATTTTGGAAACTGCATGTGATACCAAAAACCAGAAAAACTAAGATCTATTAGGTTTAGGGTACACCTGCGTTTGTGTTTTGATGTTGACATCAGCAAGTTATTACAATCTCACCGAAACTCCTCAACTTTTAGCCATACAGGCCAAAAACATGAAGCCCAATTAAAGAAAAATGTGGAAACACCATGTCATGGAGCCAATCTAAGTGTGGTTGCCACCAATCCATGACAGTACCAAAGCTGTGACATTTATAACAATGAATAAATTAGTAGCAAGCTTATATTTAGGTCCAAACATGAGCCTTGATGTGGCATGTGGTTTACCCACGTATTTGTGGGTAATTATAGCTGAGACCTTTCTTTTATTTACATAGCTGGTACTAGCTGAAGGTCAAAAATGTCACTGGCTGTAAGGAAGCATTAATATAGTAAGGATTGGTAGAGTGAGGGCCCCTTTGCACTCTCACGTTTGGACACTCTCAGGTTTGCAAAGTGGACCTATGTTGGAGACCTTTCTGCTGGAGACCAGGACCGATCCTGGAGAAAATGCTACACCAGATTTGCTTTAGAAATAGAAAAGCCTATTTCTTTGGGAACACGATGTCTGCTAACGAGAAGGGTCAGCCAATTTAATCTCTGATCCTCCCCAACTAAAGAAGACAAAATGCCTTAGATTTTAGTAATGTGAGCAGCACTAGAGGAAAAGTTTAGCAGTCACTTCTCCAAGGAACGTAAGTGGTCATGCCCTCTATTACTTTTTATTTACCATTCACAGCAAGACAGTTATGACACTGTAGCTCTATGTTACCATTTGGGTAGCGGTACTGTTTAATACGTTTAATTATTTCTGTGATTAACTTTTCTAGGCCAATGTCTCCTATTATAAGGACAATTACTTCTGGAACACGGCAACTGATTTCTAATGCCTGGCCTACACTGCCTAACATGTCTCAGCTTTGTTACGTGGGGTGTCACCATATGGAAAACCAGCTGCGTAACAACTTTCAATGCAATCCAGATTTTCAAGGCTGGGAACTGCATTAAACAGACCCAGGGGCCAAACTGCATTACACTTTTGTTGGATCCTTCGTACACTTTAATGTCCTCCCAATCACAATCCACTGTCAACATGACAATCTCTCTGAGACATCAGCGTTCCCCAGACACATTTCAACGATATGATCCATCCAGTACACTATATTTGACATGCCCCCATGGACATCAAAAAGCCGAATATCATTTCAAAACAGCCGTATCAATGTAACTTTTACACAAACAGTAATTTGCCAATCTCTCTGTTTTGGGTGCGATTGTTCCAGCTCTGTGGAGTACAAAGGGATGGTAGAGTGATATTTGCACTGCATAGCGATGGAGGGTTTGTGTGAACGAGACACAATAGGACTGCACACAGAATAATACTCTTTCATGTTGCGTGTCCTATCAAGGCTGGGATCTGTCTCCACTGTAAAGGGCTTCTGGACAAAGGCCTGCAGCGGAAGAGGAGTGAACTTTGCCAAGTCAGAAATAGCTGCCGAGTAACAATGACATGTGCTGTCACTGGGATTCCAATACTACTACCAACAGAGGTATTCCTGACATCAGAAAATGTACAATCCCTTCACACATCACACGCAACAACGAAAAAACCTGTCACTGGAAACCGTTCAATCACATGCAATACCTGAGTGCCACATCTGACAGCTAAGGTGAGAAAGAAGAACATTGCTAAGCAATATCTGCATCTAAACTGACCCCATAATATCGGCCAATGACATATCAGGAAAATAAATATGTATTCTATGAATTCAATATGTTCCATTCTATTTCATAAACACCAAAAGTAGCAAAGTGCAGTAATCTACATCAACCAATCAGTATTCACTTTGAAATTGAAAAGAGCTGGCACTCATAGGAATCCTCTTAATGGTGAAGGGTGCTAACATGTTTCAATCCATCAAGGGACCTTAATCATCAGTATTCACTTTACTGAACCCAAACAAACTGGATTCAGATTGCAGACTATAGGTACAGAACCATTGGCCCATTAATATTTATGGAGTTCCTGGGCTTTGATGGTCAAGCACATGTGGAAGAATCTAAAAGGTTATTAGCAGCTCATAGCACCATCTTCTCATCAGAATGTCATAGCTAAAAAGGCTTGAACAAGGGAAAAAAGTTCAGCTTCCATGATGCAACAGGAGCTTCCTTGTTCTGTTCTATGTCTACAGACAAAGACACAATTTTTAGGGTGTCAGGTCCTAGACTGCACAGTAGCTGCTTACCTATTACAACATGGTAAAGATTTGTGAAACCATATAAAAATACATAGTAAATACATAGTCCTGTTGACTCATTACCGAATCAGAAAATGTACCTGTAGATCAGGCGGGTGCTTGAAGTAACCACGGATGGCACCGTGTAACTCTCATAAAGTCCAAAACATGTCACCAGCACACCATTTAAACGTGAAAAATGTCCAGTGTAATGACACGTTTGTCATTCAAGTACAAACGTTTTCGGGGTCTCACAGGGTTCCCTTCATTAGGCTCAGAGTGAGGCCCTGAAGGAAGAACTCCGTGCGCTGTTTGACAACAGGACATATGACCAATGGCATTTTCAGTTGAGTATGGATGCGAATTGTCGCAAGCATGGAAGGCATGATAAACTAAGATTGGCGGTTGAGCATGGATGCAAATCTAATTTTAATGCACACCATACGCAATAAACACATTTCTCGCAACATGTCTAGTTTATCATAATATGCATTTCTTGTACCCTCATTCTCTTTTAATTTTAGGAGACTTTACTTTACTATGAAAAGTTGCCAAACGTTTTACATTTGGTATAATAGTCACATCTATCAATGTAATCACTTAGCTTTGAACTATTATTTGGAACACTGGCAAAAGAAGCTTTCCATGTGCCAAGTATTTAGTGCATGGATGATAGTTGATCAGGCTCACTGCTACAAAGTGAAAGTATCTTTGTAAAGGCAACTTCCCTCACCTGGACTCTAATAATCACCATGCTAGTGCTGCCTTGCCACTCTGACTTTCATTACAGCCAGCACTGAAATTCCCAGCATCACCGGAAGCTAAGGAAAGTGGAGACATCATTCCTTTGGTTATAATTAGGGATGCACCGATACCGATACCAGTATCGGTGCCGATACTGAGTATTTGGGTGAGTACTCGTACTCGCCCAAATGCTCCGATACCCAGCACGAGTACTTCCTGTATCAGGAAGCCGGGCAGCACATCATTACACTCTGCCCGGTTTCCTGATTGGCCAGGAAACGGCTCCATGCTCTCTCGCTAGCAAATCCGGAAGCCGGGCGCCGTGTAATGACGCAGCGCCCGGCATTGGAGCCCTCTTGGCCATACCCCCAGCCCAGCCCGCCTCAAGCTAACACTAAGTCCCTGGCTGCTTGGTGCGAAAACTGACAGTGCTGTGCTAGGCGGAGGCTAGGAAGCCTCTCACCTAGTTGCAACCCACTAGTTGAGAGCTATGGGTCTATACTATGGACTGCATCAGAACCGCGATTGATTTGTTTTTTGTAGTTTTTTTTGGCGGGGGCCTTTTCTTTTTGCTTAAAATGGGATTTCAGGTGCGTTCCGTTGCGTTCCTTTGCGTTTCCATGCATTCTTGTTGCGTTTTTATGCTTTACGTTGCGATCTGATGCAGCTAAAATAGCAGTACTTTTTCTGACTACATCGGAACGGACTGCTCTGATGTGAACAGAGCACAGGGAATCCCATAGGAAAGCATAGTGATACGTTTTTGATGCAGCTCAAAAACGGAACAGACTGCATCTGGTGTGAACTAGCCCTTAATGCGATGCAATGACAAAATACAAAAGAGCAAGCTTATAAAAATGTGGGAGCCATATACCAAAAAAAAATTATACAGCAGTAATAACTCAAACTATTTCCTCACTAAATTAACACTTTATTCTCCCTTTAAAGGTGTGATTACATTAAAAATAGGACATAATACAACAAAGGGCATTAGTTTGGGAACCTCTTCCTATTTCTTATGATGAACAATTTTCATTCTACAGGAAACCCCAGATGAATCAAACAACAAAGCTTTTCTTCCTTTGATGCTGAGCTGTAATTTATTTTGTGGTCTGGAGATCAGTTAATAGTTGCAGTATGTTACTGAATTAACAATGAGAAACAGGTTACAAGTTTGTCATATCAGTCATTCTTCACAAGTTCTAGGTGGCCGAATGACACCATCAGTTCTAACAGAGATTTAAATAAATAAATGTATCACTGGTCAGCGAGGTAACATCTGGAACACTTAAAACGTCCTTGTTTTAAAGACCATCAAAGCCCATCAACACAATATCTAGGTGTCAGGAGTCAGGGGTTCACTTGGAAACTAAAAGACCTCATATATTCGCAGACTCCCTTGAGAGGACCATAATTATGCAACATTTCTTCTCTTCAGTCTGTGAAATGAAAAATATTTCCAGCAGGAATTCTTTAATGGCCATTGTAGCTTTTTATATATTAGCAGCTTTTTTTTGTAGATAAACCATTCCTTCCTCTGGATCAACAGTGTTCAAGAAACTCTTACAATATTTATAGGAACCGCTACCAACCATGGCTCATTCAACTTATGAATAACTCATTGATGGACAATCATAATAATAATAATAACTGAACCCATGAATTATCCATGGTTAGTCCCTTTATTGGAAGGAAACTGGAGAACGAAGTACTAATCCAACCCCCAACCCTCTCATGTAATGGAGAT